CCCTCCCTGCTGTAACCCACTAGACCCCACTCCCAGAGCTGGGATAGAACCCAGGCGTCCTGGCTCCCAGCCCGCCTCTCCTCCCCCGCTGGTTACTCACCCCCCCCCCCCCCCCCCCCCCCCTCAGTCCTAGCTGAGACTGGAGGTGCCAAGTTCAAGAAGTACGAGGAGATCGACAATGCGCCAGAGGAGAAGGCTCGTGGCATCACCATCAACTCCTCCCATGTGGAGTATGCCACGGCCAACCGGCACTACGCCCACACCGACTGCCCCGGCCACGCCGACTACGTCAAGGTGAGGGCAGGGCGGGCGGGTGGGACCTGCCCCTTTCAGCCTGTGAGTGAGTTGTTGTGGTACTGCTAGGCAGCCACATTTCCCAGAATTCTGCTGTCTTAAAGGGCCAAGCCTCCCCTTGCCTTCCAGTCCCCGAACGCACCCCCTCAATCTCTTCCTCCGTCCTCACACGCGCATCCCCATGTGCCCCGCTGTCCCTGCCCACACCCTCCTGTTCCTGCCTCTATCCCTAACCCCACAGCCCTCTGCCTGCCTCTCTGCACCTCCGTACCTCCAAACCTCCCCCCTCTCTCCCCAAATGCCCCCCCCCAGCCTGTCCCTCCGTCTGTCCCCGCACACACAGCATCTGCCTGCCTCTCTGTACCCCCAAACTCACCCCCTCTAGCCTGTCCTTCCGTCTGTCCCCAAACGTACTCACCTTTGTCCACCTCTGTGCCCCTCCCTTTGTGCATCCCTCTGTCCCCACACTCACCACTCTCCATCCTTCTGTTCCCAAAGATAGACCCCCCCCATCCCTTCCTCTGTCCCCACACACCCCCTCAGTTCCTTCGCCTGGCCCCTGAGACACACCCTCCTCACCCCTGCTTCCTCTACATAGCCTCTGAGACACCTTCACCCCCGTTCATCCTCCCAGCCCTCAAGACCCTCCCGCCCCCCCCGCTTCCTCCTCCCTGCCCCGAGACCCCTCCCCTCCCCCACTTCCTCCTCCCTGCCCCTGAGACCCCCTCCCCTTCTCTCTCTCTCTCTCTCTCTCCCCTCCCCCCCCACCACCACTTCCTCCTCCCAGCCCCGGAGGAACAGTGGGTGGGTGGGGAGCAGGGGAGGAGCAGGGTGTGGGCGAGGGAGCAGCGAAGGGCATGGGCGGGGAGCGGCTGTACTGTGGGTGGTTTCACTCTTCCTCCATTGGGGATTGGGTCTGTGTGTGTCACCCCAACAACTTCACCGTCAAGCTCGGTGCAACAATAACACATTCCCGCCCCCGAGTTCCGTTCCCTCCCCAGCCTGTGCTGGCTCCCCTGCCCCCATCCCCAGGTCCCGGCATCTGAGCACCGCCGTCCCTCTCTTCCAGAACATGATCACTGGCACCGCTCCCCTAGATGGCTGCATCCTCGTGGTGGCAGCGACAGACGGGCAGATGCCGCAGACCCGAGAGCACTTGCTGCTGGCCAAACAGGTGAGGGGGGGTGAGGAGTTCCCCAGGGTGCAACCTGGAACTGGGGTACCACTGAGCTCACCAGCCTGGGCCCCCTCCCTCACTGTGATGCTGGGACAAGCTGCAAACCCCTCCAGGTCCTGCACACACACAGCCAGGGACACACCCAGCTGCAGTTACATGAAAGCTTCTCCCAGCCACTCATGAACCAGCACTAGAGAGGTTCCAGCCAATCCCCCCCAGCTCCGCAACCTAGGCCCCCAGACCTGGACTGTCCTGCCCTGGTCAGAAGCCTGTCCGGTGTACGTTTATTACCCAGTCTGCCACTTCTACAAAGGACAGTGGGCATGCACCAGCCCTTGCCCCCGAGCAGATTCCCCAAGCACTTCAGCCAAAACGCGCTGTTGTAGGTAACGTACCAAACAGGTGTGTTCGCGACAGACAGGTGGATTGCAAGTAATTATAAGCAGCTCAAAGCTGGTTACCTAAGAAATGAAACACGTCTGCAGCCTGAGTTCTGTTACCTAGACAGGGTTTGAATCCGGCTGTGTCTCACCCTGGGATTCTCCTTTCCAGCCTGGGACCCCCTTCCCCGTTCAGTGTCCCCCAGCCGGGTTCCCAGGTGCTGAGTTGGGGGGTGAGGACCAGTGATGATGTCACTTCCCCCTTGTGTAGCTTCTTCCAGCTGGGGAAAGAGCCTTTGCTGTGATTGAGTCAAGCAGCCTCCATTGTGTACCTGCTCTCTCTGAGAGGTCTCCATTGTACACAGTTCCTGGGACAGTCCCTGGGAGTGTGGATTCCCCTTAATGGGCCATCAGCGCTGTCTGGCTCCTCCATTGTTGTACCTGAAAGGCTGGTTGTGGGTGTCTCACAACATATTTCACTAACACACACACAGCAAAACTTCATAACTTCCCATCCAATGACGGCACCTACAATCCAACAGGATATTAATGTTCAACAGCTCAAGACTTTTAACATGATACCTCCTGGTTCCACGCGCAGGGCCAGGTAGGCAGGCAGAACTGCAGAGTCTCAATGCATGGATGAGACGATGGTGCAGGGAGGAGGGGTTTAGATTTATTAGGAACTGGGGAAACTTTTGGGAAAGGGGGAGCTGTACAGGAAAGATGGGCTCCTTCTAAACCAAAATGGAACCAGATTGCTGGCACTTAACATTAAAAAGGTCGTAGAGCAGTTTTTAACCTAATGGCTGGGGGAAAGCCAACCGGTGCGGAGGAGCACATGGTTCGTACATCCCTTAGGGGAGGATCTATTAATAGAGAATCTCTCTGTCTTAGTGAGGGCGGAAAATGAGAAAATACAGGCAGGGTCTGATCAGAAACAATCAAATAAAAAATAGTCCCATTCAATTACATCATGTAACGGCAGACAGCTAAAAGGAGACAAGTTTTTAAAGTGCTTATATACCAATACTAGAAGTCTAAATAATAAGATGGGTGAACTAGAGAATATTGATATAACAGGCATCACAGAAATTTGGTGGAATGAGGATAATCAATGAGACACAGTAATACCAGGGTACAAAACATATTGGAAGGACAGAACAGGTCATGCTGGTGGGGGAGTGGCACTAGATGTGAAAGAAAGCGTAGAATCAAATGAAGTAAAAATCATAAATGAATCAAACTGTACCATAGAATCTCTATGGATAAAAATTCCATGCTCTAATAATAAGAATATAGCAGTAGGGATATATTACTGACCACCTGACCAGGATGGTGATAGTGACTGTGAAATGCTCAGGGAGATTAGAGAGGCTATTAAAATAAAAAAACTCAATAATAATAATAATAATGGGGGATATCAATTATCCCCATATTGACTGGGTACATGTCACCTCTGGATGGGATGCAGAGATAAAGTTTCTTGTCCCTTAAATGACTGCTTCTTAGAGCAGCTATTCCTGGAACCCACAAGAGGAGAGCCAATTCTTGATTTAGTCCCAAGTGGAGCACAAGATCAGGTCCAAGAGGTGAATATAGCTGGACCTCTTGGTAATAGTGACCATAATATAATGAAATTTAACATCCCAGTGGCAGGGAAAACACCACAGTGGCCCAACACTGTAGCATTTAATTTCAGAAAGGGGAACTACACAAAAATGAGGAAGTTAGTGAAACAGAAATTAAAAGGTTCAGTGCCAAAAGTGAAATCCCTGCAAGCTGCATGGAAACTTTTTAAAGACCCCATAATAGAGGCTCAACTTAAATGTATCCCCAAATTAAAACACATAGTAAGAGAACCAAACAAGAGCTACCATGGCTAAACAACAAAGTAAAAGAAGCAGTGAGAGGCAAAAAGGCATCCTTTAAAAAGTGGAAGTTAAATCCTAATGAGGAAAATAGAAAGGAGCTTTGGCAAAGGAAGTGTAAAAATATAATTAGGAAGGCCAAAAAAGAATATGAGCAATAGTTAGCCAAAGATGCAAAAAGTAATAGCAATTTTTTTTTATGTACATCGGAAGCCTGCCAAACAATCAGTGGGCCCACTGAACGATCGAGGTGCTAAAGGAGCACTCAAGGATGATAAGGCCATTGTGGAAAAACTAAATGAATTCTTTGCATTGGTCTTCACGGCTGAGGATGTGAGGGAGATTCCCAAATCTAAGCCATTCTTTTTAGGTAACAGATCTGAGGAACTGTCCAAAATTGAGGTGTCATTAGAGGAGGTTTTGGAACAAATTGATAAATGAAACAGTAAGAAGTCACCAGGAGCAGATGGTATCACCCAAGAGTTCTGAAGGAACTCAAATGTGAAATTGCAGAACTACTAACTGTAGTTTGTAACCTATCATTTAAATCAGCTTCTGTACCAGATAGGGTGACCAGATAGCAAGTGTGAAAAATCGGGACGGGGTGGGGGGTAATAGGAGCCCATATTTTAAAAAAAAGCCCCAAATATCAGGACTGTCCCTATAAAATCGGGACATCTGGTCACCCTAGTACCAGATGACTGGAGGATAGCTAATGTGATGCCAATTTTTAAAAAGGGCTCCAGAGGTGATCCCGGCAATTACAGGCCTGAAAACCTGACTTCAGTACTGGGCAAACTGGTTGAAACTATAGTAAAGAATAAAATTGTCAGACATATAGATGAATATAATTTGTTGAGGAAGAGTCAACATGGTTTTAGTAAAGGGAAATCATGCCTCGCCAATCTACTAGAATTCTTTGAGGGGTCAACAAGCATGTGGACAAGAGGGATCCAGTGGATATAGTGTACTTAGATTTTCAGAAAGCGTTAGACAAGGTCCCTCAACAAAGGCTCTTACGCAAAGTAAGCTGCCACAGGATAAGAGGGAAGGTGCTCTCATGGATTGGTAACTGTTTAAAAGATAGGAAACAAAGGGTAGATATAAATAGTCAGTTTTCAGAATGGAGAGGGGTAAATAGTGGTGTCCCCCAAGGGTCTGTATTGTGCCCAGTCCTATTCAATATGCTCATAAATGATCTGGAAAAATGGGTAAACAGTGAGGTGGCAAAATTTGCAGACGATACAAATTACTAAAGATAGTTAAGTCCCAGGCAGACTGCGAAGAACTACAAAAGGATCCCTCAAAACTGGATGACTGGGCAACAAAATGGCAGATGAAATTTAATGTTGATAAATGCAAAGTAATGCACATTGGAAAATGTAATCCCAACTATACATATAAAACGATGAGGTCTAAATTAGCTGTTACCACTCAAGAAAGATCTTGGAGTCACTGTGGATAGCTCTCTGAAAACATCCACTCAATGTGCAGTGGCAGTCAAAAAAGCCAACAGAATGCTCGGAATAATTAAGAAAGGGATTGATAATAGGATAGAAAATATCATGTTGTCTCTATATAAATCCATGGTACGCCCACATCTTGAATACTGCGTGCAGATGTGGTCGCCCCACCTCAAAAAAGATATATTGGAATTGGAAAAGATTAACAAAAATGATTAAGGGTATGGAACAGCTTCTGTATGAGGAAAGATTAATAAGACTGACTTTTCAGCTTGGAAAAGAGACGGTTAAGGGGAGATACGATTGAGGTCTATAAAATCATAACTGGTGTAGAGAAAGTAGATAAGGAAGTGTTTAGTACTTCTCATAACACAAGAACTAGGGGTCACCCAATGAAATTAATAAGCAGAAGGCTTAAAACAAATAAAAGGAAGTATTTCTTCACACAACACACAATCAACCTGTGGAACTCCTTGCTAGAGGATGTTGTGAAGGCCAAGTCCATAATAGGGTTCAAAAAAGAACTAGATACATTCATGGAGGATAGGTCCATCAATGGCTATTAGCCAGGATGGGCAGGGATGGTGTCCGTAGCCTCTGTTTGCCAGAAGCTGGGAAAAGGTGACAGGGGATGGATCACTTGATGATTCCCTGTTCTGTTCATTCCCTCTGGGGCACCTGGCACTGGACACTTTTGGAAGACAGGATACCGGGCTAAATGGACCTTTGGTCTGACCCAGTAGGGCCATTTTTATGTACCTCACAAGGCAGACTTTGTACCGAACAAGTCATAATCCTATCACAGTGGTGAATATGGGGGTGCCAGGGCACTGTTGTGGGGGTACAGTGTGTCATGGGGCGTCTTTGCCAGAAGCCCTGGGCATGGGCTGTGAGCCAGGGGATCCCCTCCCCGAGGACCAGGCCAGGGCTGGCTGGGCTGTCCCTCACCCTGTGGTCCCCTCAGATCGGGGTGCGGCACATCGTGGTGTACATCAACAAGGCGGACGCAGTGGAGGACCAGGAGATGCTGGAGCTGGTGGAGCTGGAGATCCGGGAGCTGCTCTCTGAATTTGGCTACGATGGGGAGAAGACGCCCGTCATCGTGGGCTCTGCCCTCTGCGCCCTGGAGGTGAGTCCCGCCTTCTCCCTCCCACCAGCGCCTCACATGCCCGCTGCCCATGCTAATGCCCTCCCTTCCCCCAGTACCGTAGCCCCGAGCTGGGACTGAACTCCATCATGAAGCTGCTGGACGCGGTCGACACGCACATCCCACTGCCCATGCGGGAGCTGGACAAGCCATTCCTGCTGCCCATCGAATCAATCTACTCCATCCCAGGTAATGCCCGCTCCCCCCCCCGCCCAGCCCCCATGCTGAGCCCCGTGCCTTTCCAGGGACCCCCTATCCCGGGCCCCATGGCACTGACCCCTCTGCCCTTGCAGGGCGTGGGACGGTGGTGACAGGGACGCTGGAGCGTGGCATCGTCAAGAAGGGGGATGACTGCGAGTTCGTGGGGCACAACCGGAACGTGCGCTCCGTGGTGACAGGTAGGGGGCGCAGCTAACAGAACCCCTCACCTGCTCTCCCCTCCCAGAGGTGGGGGAAACCCCCCTGCCCAGGCTGGGGAACCCGGGCTCACCCCATCCCTCCCCCGCAGGCATTGAGATGTTCCACCAGAACCTGGAGCGGGCCGAGGCCGGGGACAACCTTGGCGCACTGGTGCGGGGGCTGAAGCGGGAGGACGTGCGGCGTGGCATGGTGATGTGCAAACCAGGCTCCATCAAGCCCCATCAGAAGATTGAGGCCCAGGTGGGGCCTGTGCTGGGGCAGTGGGCTGGGGGGCGGGGAAGGTGGGCTGCTGGGCTATAACAGTCTCTCCCTCTGCCCCCCAGGTGTACATCCTCAGCAAGGAGGAGGGTGGGCGGCACAAGCCTTTCGTCTCTAACTACATGCCTGTCATGTTCTCCCTGACCTGGGACATGGCCTGTCGGACCATCCTGCCCCCTGGAAAGGTAGAGAGACCCCCCCCTCCCTGCCCCCAGCACTGGCTGTGGGCTCACCACGGGGAACCAGCTTCCCCATCGCAGTCCCTATCCCCACCCCGGTCAGTGGTGGCTGGCGGCCAGCTGTGGCACTCTGACCTTCTCCCGCCCCCCCCCCCCCCCCGCAGGAGATGGTGATGCCTGGCGAGGACACAGCCCTGACCCTCACCCTGCGGCAGCCCATGGTGCTGGAGGAAGGTCAGCGCTTCACACTGCGTGATGGCAACCGCACCATTGGCACCGGTGTGGTCACCAAGACGCTGGAGATAGGGCCAGATGATAAGTGGGGGGCTTAAAAGCCCAGCTGAGCTGGCTCTGCCCCCAGGCCTGTGTCTGCAAACAGTGGGGGAGGGGCTAGTTCTAGCTGGTGTCCCCTACGAACCTGTTTATCGCTGCTGCCCCCGGCGGCATCATGGTCACCTAGAGCGGGGTGCAAGCTGCCTGTTGTATGAACTGCTCTGCTGTGGGGCAACAGAAATCGAACTGCCCTCCCGTGGTGGCTCTCCTGCCCAGAGCCCCTGCAGTAGGGGCTTATGCAGCTTCCTGCTGTTTGGTTTCTTTTGTTAATAAAGGTGCGGAATCATGGCTGGGTCCTTCCTGCTTCTTTGGGGGGGTGCGCTGGAGGTGACAGGTAGCTGAAGGGGGTTCCTGGCATGGGCGCAGCTGGTGACAGAGGCTCATGTCCCCCCCCCATGGGTTGGGCTGGGACAGTGATACTAGCTCTGTAGGGACCAGGTAGCACCCTGGCCTGCTCTCAGGCAGGTCCCAGCTCCTGTCCAGGGCACTGTGGCCCAGTGGACTAGCAGAGGGGCAGCACCCAGCTTTGGGTGCTTGCCTAGCAAAGCAGTGGGAGAAGGGGGGGGGAGATTAGCTCCCCAGGGAGCAGAGCTGGGGGCTGATGAAGCTGAAGGAGAATGTTGTCAGAAGGGCAAATAGGGACAAACGACCCTGCCTCAAGTCAGGGTAGAGATGGGATGGGGTGGAACAGCCTCCAACCCCCCCCCCCCCCCCCCCAGTAAAGAGCAGGGCCCTATTTGGTGCAGAGCAGTAGGCTCCTTCATGTCTTCCAGTAGCAGCTGGGGCCTAGCCCCCAACTGGGGGGAGCAGGCTGCTGAGAGTTGACACCCACCCCTGCTCCAGCTGAGGGGTAGGAACAGAGGGCAGCAGGGTAGAAGCTGCAGCTCTCCCTCCCTCCCTCCACAGGCTTCGTTCTGGCTGCCCTACCCTAGTTTTAGTCACTCCATTAGAGATCTTTAGCAGCCAGTGCCTGCTCTCACCAGGGCCCACCCCACACACAGCAGAAATGAAGGGAACAGAAGCCAGGACTCCAACCCCACCCTTCCACAAGTGTAACCCCTCCTTAGGCTATTCTCCTCCCCTCACAAGCCCCCAGAGACTCACCCCAACACCCACCATGGAGTTAGTTTAAAATTTTATTTTATTTTTTTTTCCACTTTTTAAATATTTTTATGTAATAAAAAGTCGGTGTTCATCAGTCTGGTCTGCTCCTGTGTTCGCATGACTAGGGGAGGGGAGCCCAACACTCTGTTTAACAGCCCAATTGGAGTTATAAATAATAGAAAATAAAACCTTGGTGGCTCCAGGAGCCAGGGGCAGGTGGCTCTTGCCGCTGCGCGCTCCGCAAACCAACAAAAAAGGTGCTTGGTAAAGCCCCGCCCCCAGCTGTGGCCCCGTAAGGGGCAGGCTGGGGGTTCCACCTCAGGGCCCGGCTGCCAGGCCGGGGCGCACACAAGGGGGCAGAAGGAGCAAACCGGATCCCGGGCAGGGGCCGGCACTGGGAGTTCAGTTCACAGTCAGGAATCGAGGCTTCAGTTTCCAGGGGGGTGGAATGGGAGCTGCTGGGATGGGTGAGACTGAACTAGAAAGAGAGCAGAGATTGTTAGTGAGCAAAGCAGGACAGGAGGCCGAGCACTGGACCCCCACAGCAGGGAGACAGGGCTGCAGCCAGCCCGCCCGCCCACCCTGGGCCTGGAGCCAGGTGGCCTATCCACCCCACCCTCACACCCCACTGCATAGAGGCCTCCCCAAGCCCCACCCACAGCACCTGCTGCAGGAGGAAGGCGAGAACATGCCCTGCTCTCTCCCCTCACCACACCCATCTCCCAGGGCAATGAGCACTGCAGGCCTGTCACACTGACGCCTAGACAGCCCCCTCACTGCAGGCCTTCACATTAGGGGCCGGACCCTCTATCATCTGTCAGAGCTGAGCCCCCAGCTCAGGGAAGGAAGGGTAGCCCCTCAACAGCTTGCCAGCATGGGGGGTGGGGGGTTACTCTGGTACCAGCCTGGCCCATCACACACACCCACCAGTCCTGAACCTCTGAGACATCCCCCCACCCCCAGCACTGACCTTGATGGTGTCCTATATAGGTGTATGGAGATGGTGTGGAGGCTGAGAGGGTGGGCACCCCGCTCTGTGGCACGCCGCCTTGGGGGGGCCCCCCATGGGTCTGCGAGGGGTGGAGCAGCATGACCTGGGGGGGATGAGGCGCCCCGGGGTGAGGGGGCGGTGCTGCTGTTATTCCAGTCTGGACATGGGCCTGTGGGAGGGGAGAGTAGGGGGATGAGCGTTGGTGGGTGGGGCCCGCGTAGTGCCCGCAGCCCTGCTGCCCCTGCCACCTACCTGGGTGACATGGGCCATGTTGGTGTAGCCGTGCTGCAGCTGCTGGTGGGCGTGGATGGCGTAGACAGCCTGCTGTGGGAAGCTGCTCTGGGGGGATTGGGCACTGGGCCCTGGTGTGATGGAGGGCGGCGTGGCCGTCAGCGTGGCCGTGTGGTACAGGTTCTGCTGCTGCTGGGCACTGGCCAGGTGGGGCGGCTGCCCAGCCTGGTGCTGCGCCAGGACACAGGAATGTCATGAGCAGGGTCAGGGAGTCAAACACCTCCCCACCCACTACCCTCCCCCTCAGCCCTGGGGGACATCCCCCCTCACCTGTACGGGGCTGGGGGCAGCGTGCTGGGCCTGTTGTTGGTTCCCTGTCGGGGTGGTGGCTGGCTGAGGCTGGTGGGGGTGCAGCTGTGTCGCATGGTGGGGATAGGACTGATGAACTGTAGCTGGAGAGAGACACCCAGTCAGACCCCGAGCAGCAGAACTGGCCCCAGCCCCTGGGGCTCCCCGGCCCCAGCCTATAGACTCACCATAGAGCGTCTGGGGCGTGGGCTGCTCCGAGGGGGGGTATTGGGGTGTGGAGGACGACACAATGGCCTGGGGGTGGCTGCCAGATGTCATCATGCGGGGGTTGCTCTGGAGCATCGGGGCAAATACAGGCTGCAAGGGAAGAACCAGGCCTCACGGCTGTTAGAGGGACCATCCCTGTGTGCCCACCCCTCACTGCCCCCGGCACACCCCTCTGCCCCCAAAGGCTGCCGTGGCTGTTAGACCATCCCCACACACTCACCCCTCTGCTCCCAGATGGCCCCACCGAGGCCGCAATGGGACAGAAGGGCCCTTCTCGCCTCACCCCCATGCTCCTCCCTCCCCTCCCCGTGGCCCTTACCTGAGAAGGGTAGTGCGCCATAGGCTGCATCATGGTGGGCTGCCCCGTGAACTGCTGGGGGTTATAGGAAATGTAGGAGGAGTAGGGCGTAGCTGCTACCAGGGGGGGCCCTGCCGCCGCTGCCGCCTGCATAATGGGGGGTGCGGATGTCGGCTGATGCTGGTCCGAGCGCTGGGGTGGGAGGGAACCTGTGGGAAAAGGAGCCAGCTGCTGAAAACGGACCCCAGAAGCCCCTAGGCTGTATGGCTGCCTCAACCCTATGGTGAGGGACCCTCCCCTACAGCCCCACGCAATGGTCCCTGCTGCCATCTCTCCCCAGACATCCCATCACTCCAGTGGATCAGCATCTGCTGCCCTGGGAGGGGCTCCTGGTTAGCCCCACCCATCAGGGAGGGGAGCTCTGCCCATGCTTTAGCCAGCCCCCCCTCCCATCAGTGCAGCTGGTGCCAGACTTGCTATGCCCCACTGAGAAATGCCAGGCTCACCTTTGGCCCCTCGGTACTTGCCCTGCTGGCCAGGCACAGAGCTGGAGACAGGGTACGGGTACATCTGGGGCGCCTGCAACGAGAGAGCGGCAGCAGGGTGGTTACCTAAGAACAAGGAGAGCTCCCCTGCCCCCTCAGAACCCAGCTCCCCCCAGAGGACAGGGACCCCCATCCCCAAACACATTTACCCACCCTCTGCAGCTCCCCCACCCCCCCCCTTCCCAACGTGCCCCTGCCCCTCCTCTGGATAGGCCCTGCTCCCCCCATCCCCCACATCCTTCCCACTCCCCGGACAGGCCCTGCTCCCTCATCCCTGCAGCCTCCCCCCCCGCCCCGAGATCCTGGTCCCTCATCGCCCCCCCCGCCATCCCTGCAGCTCCTCCCCCTAGCTTTCCCAGTGTGCCCCCCCCCCCGCAGCTTCCTCATCTCCTGCTGCCAGTGTGGCCCCCCTCCTCCCCCCCATACAGCAATGGGGGGCTCACTTGGACGGCAGGGCTCATGTGGATTTGAGGTATGTAGGAAATGTACTGGGGGCTGTACATGCCCGTCTGGCCGGCCGTGATCACTGGGATGGAGGGAGTGGAATGGGCGCGAGGGCCCGGTGACGTGGGGGTGCTCGTCGACTTGTTCTGGAAGCAAAGACAGAGCAGGTGAGCATGGGACCCAGCCAGATCCTCACCAGCGATGGGGAGGACCAGCAGCCGCTGGAGCCAATGGGGCTCCCACTCCCCCCAGCCCAGATCACTCACCACGGAAAGCAGCGTTTTCGAGGGGTTGAACTCCTTGGCGTTGGGATTCAGAGTCGATTTCTTCACTTGCCTGAAACCAACACAGGACAAATCAGGGTTAAAAACCCTGGAGAGCCCAGCGTCCCCCTCCAACCCACTCCCCCGAGTGCAGCCTGCCTTGCCCTCCCCCACCCGTGAGAGAACCCCTGGCCCTGTGCTGCAGACTCACTCGGACACAGGCCCCTCCTCTTTGTCCTCGGGCTCGCCCTTGCCCGGGGGGCTGGCCACCTGCTGCTCGGCCACCTCACACAGACCCTTCTCCTCTTTGCCACTCTCCGGCAGCAGCTCCAGGCTGGTCCCGCTGGGCTTTGGCACCATGCTCACGGCGGGCGCCTCCTCAGGACCCTCGCAGATGCCCGGCTCAAGGGATTTCTCCTTGCCCTCCAGAGGCTCCTTGGGCCTGGCACTGAAGGACTCCAGGCTGGTTTCTGGGGAACTGCTCGGCTGGAGCTGTGGGGGAGCCAGATACTCATGGTGAGCCCGGCCCAGACATGCCCACTCCCCCCGCCCTCCCTGCTGTCACCAGGCCTTACCTTGAACTGGGCCCCAAACTTGCGCAGCTCCTCCAGCTGGGTCCGCTTCTGCTCATTCTGCAGCCCTGCTGTGGAGAACAGAGGAGTGAGCGGAAGGGCTGCTGCAGCCTCAGGGTGCCCCCAGCCATAGGGAACCCCCACTCCCCACCCCAACCCCCCAGCCTCACTAAAGCTCCGCCAACACAGACGGGTTATGCTTCCATGAGGGGGACAGGTCATAGAAAAGACCCCCAACAGGAGGATGCAGGCCCCTGCGTCTTCTCCCCAGGCCCCTTCGCTTGGGAAGCGAAGCTTGGAGCAGTCTCCCTCGGGCACACACCAGGTTCTGAGGCGTCATAGGGTGGCTGGGGCCCGGCCCTGTCAGTGCTGACTCCAAGACACACACACCTTTGCTGGCTGCCTTGTTGAGCTCACATGGCCCCGTCACTTCCAAGATTCTGCCAGGATCTTTAGCCACAGATGTGGGAGCCTCTTTCCCTGAGAGAGAAAAATGGAAATCCCTTAACACATTACACTGCCCTGCCCCCACCCGACCCCTGCTCCAAGGCACAGCTCCCCAGGCCCATCTCCTCACAGCGGCCACAAGAGTCCCCAGAAGCCCCACGCTGCTCCCTGGGCCTTACCCTCAACAGCAGTGGCTGGCACGGGGGCGGCTACTTTGGGAGAAGGGGGGTTTGGGGAAAC